AAGTTTCATCGTCATCATCACTTTTCTTTGCTGTGATATTGCAATTGGTTAACATTTAAATGTTCTTTATTGTCTTATCGAAGAAGATTTGTTCGCATTCGCCGAACGGAAATGGTTATGTAGAGAGATCTTATTGGGATGCAATCCGTATCATGCGACACGATGAATTTCGTGATCGTTGAATAATAGTGTTCGATTGTTTAGATAAATGAATTTATTTTTCGAAGAAATTTTCGAAGGTGTCTTGTATTGCCGACGAAAGTTTTGAATCAAAATGCTCAAGTGATCACCGCTGTACTCGAATGGACTGTTATTGTTTGAAACACTCAATTCGCCGACTTTTTTCCAGTCGTTTCGTTGTGAATGAGTGGACGAATGTTGATAAACTCACTGCTGCTTGTTGTGCAGTTGTAGTCTTATTGCATCAGTCAGTCAATCAGTATTGTTGTTATATTACGTTGTCTTTGTTGTTATCTTTTTATTATCGGGTCTTTTAATGCATCTTCTGTTGCTTGTTCATTCGATAATGCCCTCTTGCATGACTATCCTCTTTTTTCTGAGTGGAGAACTGCAATAATTGACTGAGTTATTCAGCTTGTCATTGATCGAATCGTATCCTTAAATCATATTTCATTTGAACGTTGTTCTTTTTTGAAATTTACGCTTCCTTTGAAATGATTATTCATGCATGTGTTGTTATTGGTTCAATCGGAGTTAACTTATGTGCAGAATTCTTATAGTTGTTCATATTTACCGCCTGAGTCAGATACTATATAATGTGAGCAATTGATAAAAAGTTGCACAGACAAATGATGGTTCTATAAACAGAAAGTGATCGTGAGGATATGGCGATTGACTTCGTTCGTCTAAATGCTAAATGAATGAAGAATGGAATTCAGTTCGAATGAAAATTAGAAACTTTGAAAAACGAAAGCGCGGAAACGTTTTCAATAACATTTCAATAAAATGCTTTGGCAATGGTCGTAAAAATGCGTTGTTCGAACAGTCTCATCAAATGTTTTATCTGTAAAACCGAATATCACTGATGTAAACATCTGCTAAAAATAATGATATAACGGCAATAACAACATCACAACATGTCTGCTTACAATTAGCTTTCTAGTTATCGATATTATTGTTGTTGTTGCACTGATCTCGCTAGCAGAAAACCGTTCGAATAAGATTGATTACCTCAGATGCGACATGTAATCCTTTTTTTGTTTTTATTTGTTCAGACAAATTCTTCAGTCGATATGCTGATGATGAGTATTCAAAGCTACCTAAAAGCTCCTCTTGGATGCACTAGTATGCATATGTTCTAAGCTTACGGTTAATATCGATGGATTCAATTGAAGCGTTTGGTTCAATTAAGAAATGCACTCAATCTTTCACTGTGAACAGGGTCGTGACGTTCTCATGTTTCAAATGGTTGGATGGTTCTGAAATTCACAATAGAACTGAAGGTGTTCACAATATAAGATAGTTATTTTCATGGAATTAAGATCAATTTACATTTTACGTTATAAGATATTGCATTGTGTTAAGAGTAAGGTTTTTAAGGAGTTATAAACATGGTTTACAATGAGGAAATAAATATACATTTGAAAAGGTCGAATTATTTTAAAACAAAACAACGTTGAAGAAGGAATAATGATGCAATTACGCACGGTGCTTCTCCACATACTCTTTGATGTATCCTTCACGGGCATTGATAAGTTTTGCCAGTTCAGTGCGATTGTGTGGAATCCGGTCGTGATTCTCTTTGAAAAGCCGTAATGCATGAAAATAATCCTGAAATTACTACTGTTCAGCGTGTTGTTGAATGAAGAACATTGGGAATTCAGAGGCACACTCTCTCATTTCAGTCATAACGTTTGCAATCCCACTGATGTGAAGACAGATTTGATTTCTGTCATGTATCCATCAAAAGTTATTGAGCAAAGCAGCACATTTCAAATTACCGACAGACATTTTAACGTGAACCTTAGTTATCGATCAAGACTGATCACTGAAAATGGGTTGAGAGAGCCAGATGACCTATCAATGAATTATCATTTGATAGCTGAGTACAACGGAAGTTGCCATCACAGAAACTACCAGCTCCTGAGCACATTCTATTGGTGTGTTACTTAGAAAAATAAAAACTTGCAAAAATTGTTTGAATGGAATCGCTTTGAAGCGAAAATACAACTGAGGTTATCAGTTTGAAAGACATACACGATGGTCGGGTGTGAATCGATGAAATATACCGGACGGTAAAATCATCACGTCGCCTGGTTCAACCGCTATCCTTACCCATGCATCCTGAAAATCTTTCAAGTAATAGGCATTCCATATACCGTAAAATATTGACAGGTTCACAAAGCGAGCGCCATCCCTCCATCCGTCTACATAGCGATTAGTTAAAGTTAAAGAAAGACACATAACTGCAAAGTAATTTTAGATCAAAGTTTCGAAGTTTACTGCGTAATGTTTATTTGAAGACGTTGCATGATTTTCACCGAAAAGATTTTGCTAGAAGAGGCGAGCAAACGAACGTTTTCATTTCGAACATCAAAATAACCAGATCCATCAACAATATATCGAGCCTCTTCATCGATATGCATATGTTCTTCGAACAGTTTCTTTATCTGAAAGCACCGCTCACATAATGAAGTCGTCGAATATGAATTCAGCGACTCAAAGATCTTTTGTTGATTCATTACAAATTTCCAGCAACAAAAATGAATGTTCAATTTTCATATGAATAACGTTTGCATTCATTATGGACGCTTGCACACCTCGGTATCATAATCAGGCGTTACATCTCGGCTCACTACTAATTTATCACGGACTGTATACCCTCGTTCTTTGCATATTTTGTCCAAAAGCCCATTTTTATCGACCACTGGCACCTGAAAAGTATGACCATAACTTGCTGATTGAAAGTCAGCTACCGACAGATCGATTCTCTATAACATCGCGCACTGTCGAATTGAAGCAATGAAGTCCTAAACTTGTCAGTTCCTTCTGCTTTGAAACGTGCTGATAGTCAAAGAAATTGCTATAACACAATGCTTGCGTGTTTAGTTTATGACTTTGGTAATAAATAACATTTTGTGATGAGTCGTTGTATTTACTATTACGTTTATGTGATTTATTTTTACATATTTATGAGATGGGTACATATACTTGTGGTTTATTCAGACGATAGTTTAGAGCAAATGTCGTCTAAAATACAAACTCTAATCAGTTGCATACATATTTTTCTGCTGAACCCAATGCAACTCATAACGAATAAATTAATAGCTTTCGGAATCGCGTAACTAACATATTGTGTTAAAATGCCAAGTTGATGAAGTTTGTCTGTCGACAAATCAACTGAAGGATCACGACTGCATGGTGCAGATTGGTTGATCACAGGTGAGCACATTAACCATGCACGAACCATCACGAGATATTGACGATAAGCTGTATCTTATAGAATGTATTACATCGTTTTCAGTTCCTCGTTGATGTTTTTGTTAAAAACACTTACAATTAGCACAATTGCGTTTTACTATCGTTATAATTGAGACTGCGTCAAAACACGAACACACAAGTAAGTTACTATCGACGGAAAACACTAATTACGACAATTGCAA